CTCCTCTGATACCTGGCTCACCTTGTTGACCTGGTGGTCCTGGTAACCCCCGTGGTCCTGGCAGACCATCTTCCCCTGGCATTCCTGGCTTTCCTTGAGGTCCTTCCCGTCCATCTCGCCCTGGTGGTCCTAGTGGTAATGCTTGCGATTCACCTTCTGCTCCTTCTCCTGATCCCATCAGTGGGCTACAAGCCTAGAAATAGTATTTGCAAATAATTAGAAGCATAACTTCAAACATATTTTTTCTAGCCTAAAACAATCCATTAGAGAGCTTACTTGGATCACGATAAAAGTGCAAAAAACCAATAAAGTATTGAAAAGGCGCATTGGTACTTACAACCTGAAATTGACCATATGCATAACGGCTGAGAATTTTTAGGTTTTTATCGAACATTTAAATTTTTGATGTTCTATATTTCTGTAAGAAATTTCGTATTTCTGTGAGGAAAAAGAATGCTGAGAGAGGTATTTTGGATCTTTCAGAAGACCAGGTTCAACAGAAATTTTATCCGAATAAGTTTTTCTTATTTACAGTACTTCCTTTAATAAAGTTGTAACCGATATGCCGTAATTTAAAAAATATCGTCAAAAATGTTACAAAAGGCTTTACTATTTAAATTGAAAATCAGTAAAGTTTCGGCGAGAAACTTTCTACTTATAGTCGAAGTTCGATGTTTGATATGAATCATTCTAAAGTTCACGAAACAAAGAAATATTCCAAGAATTCTTTGTGGAATAATCATATTGAGTGCAACAAAGTGCAATCTTTAATGGTTATTTACGTATCTATGGGAGCTGAACGTATCTTTTTATGAACGGAAAGAAGATTCGGTTAACTGATAGAAAATTAACGATTGATAGATGAATGCGGGAGGTGGAAGGGAGAAAAAGTTTTGTATTTTCATGAAACAGTAGTAAGTTGAAACAGTGAAATAATCCTTTTCAGTGATATCGGCTTTCTTTTTCATCAGACCCATCCGGTCCTGGCAGCCCCGGCTCTAGGTTTCTATCACCGTTTCTTTCATTTCCGAAAATATTATAACTTATCAGACTGAATTTTTTAGTTTTCATTCAAGAGCGATTTGCTTGGATGATTGAAAACCATAAATAAGGGAAAGATTCCGTCCATCTAAAATTTCTGTTAAAGATTAATCTTCTGGGAGATCTTAGACATCACTTTTGGCATTCTTTTGCTTTTCATTCTTTATAAAACTTTAAAAAATCAAAAACTTTGTGATTCGAAATTTAAGGCATTTCAGCCACTGCCATACAACGAATTTCAGATTCATTACCAATGCATCTTTTCGATACATTTCTATTGGTTATTACCGCTGTTTTCGTATCACTTTATCTGATTTTAAGGGATGATTTTAAGTGATCGGAAAGAAGATTCTGTTGATTGATAGGAGATCAACGGTTGATAGATCAATCCGGGAGGATGGATGGAAGAGAAGGTTTGAAAAATAACACAAGTTATATATCATAAGTATTGGTTATTTGCAGTTGTTTTATAAGAAAGTCTGAAAAATTTTGAGCTGCTCAATATTGACTTCTCTAATTAAGCAGAAGGTCATGTTCAACTTTCTGAATGTGGGAAATAATTGCAGTATAGAGGATTATAGTAGTAGTAGAAGATTGGATTATCCATTGTCGTTCAGAAGTTAGTCTAGTCTTCCTTTTGTTGTTTCTGTTACTCAGATATCCTCTCTGCTTCTGTTTCGCAATCTTGAATTATTCCAATTGTGATATCAGAGTGGATGATGAAATGAGCGATCGTGTTATCATTCGTGTGACCAAATAACATCTGCCATCAGTTGGCAATTATTCAATTTTCGATTTACGCAGTCTTAAAAGTTGTTAAAGTTTTGAAGAATTCATTTCTTTCTGTCATTTAACTTTCTTACTTCATTTTCATGCATTCTTTCTTTATTTCAATTAATTAACTTAACACTTCCTTCATCCATTCGGTATTCGTCCCTTACTTACATGCAATGACTTCAATTCATCCTCGTCCGGCTGTTTCACTTAAAATAAGCCTATGGTCAACATTACTGACCGTCATCCATTCTTCTTCAATGATCCATCCATCTAGTAATTTAAAAATAAATATTTCCGACAATGCAATATCTCACTCGGCTATGTAATTTTATCATTGAAACGTTCCGAGCCGTTTTACTTATGTCTCTTCATGTAAAAATTTAAAGCATGATATTGTTTAAGAAAGTGTCCAACAATAAAACACATGCTTGAAGCATTTGAAGAATTTCGTTCAAGAAAACGAGTTGAAAGTTTGCTTCGCAAAATTTTGTCAAAAACATTTCGAAATGTTGCCATTTGAAAATATAACAAAGCTTTGCTCCGTGAAATTTTTGAATTCTATATTCCAACATTTATAATCAAATTCCGTCAAGCATTGATAACAATTTTATGCCTATGAATTTTGCAACATTATAGAAGGATACATCAACGATAGATTTATGGAAACAACCAAAATATAAGAACTGATATTACTGATTGGAAAGCCTCTACTTCTTTATTTACGCCAAATCTCATATTTCTCGAAGGACCGCAAGAAATACAAGGACCAATGAGTGGTGTTGGTGGGTAGGAACGGAATATGAAATTTGTCGTAAATTGCGAAGTAACGGCCTTCCCATTCAGTGACATCAGTTCTCTTATTTTAGTTTTTTTGCATTATTCTATCGTTGATGTGTTCTTCCTATTTCACAAAATTTGTAGACTTGAAATTATTGTCAGCACTTGATGGGATTTGATTACAAATATTGGAATATATAATTTAAAGATTTTATGGAGTAAAGTTATATTTTCAAATTGCAATTTATCATTTCCAAATATTTTTGATAAAATTTCTCGAATTAAACTTTCAATTCGTTTTCTGAACTTAATGAAATTCTTTAAATGCTTAAAACACGTGTTTTAATGTTCGAAATTTTCTTAAGCAATATCACGTTTCCAATTTTTACGTGAAGAGCCATAAGTAAATGTACAAAACGGTCCGAAACGTTTCAATGATAAAAATTACATAACCGAATAAGATGTTGCATTATCGGAATTATTTATTTTTAAACTTAGTGAAATTGGATGGATAGTTGAAGAGAAATGGATTACGGTCAATAATGTTGATCATAGGCTTATTTTAAGTGAAGCAATCTGCTGAGGATGAAGTCATTGCATGTATGTAAGGGACGAATGCCGAATGGATAAATTCAAATAAAGAAAGATTAATTCAAATAAAGAAAGAATGCATGAAAATGATTAAGGAAATTAAATGACAGAAAAGAAATGAAAAACTTAAACAACCTTGAAGACTGCGTAAATCGAAAATTAAATAATTGTCAGCTGATGGCAGATGTTATTTGGTCACAAGAATGATAACACGATCGGTTATTTTATCACCAACTCTGGGAGACTGATTACAGTTGGAATAATTGAAAGCTGCGAATCAGAAACAAAGAGGATAACTTACTAACAGAAGCAGCAAAAGATTATTTATAATGAATATATTATAAATCGATCAGAGTGTTAAAATGTTAATAATCAGAAATTGGTATAATTATATTTTAGGTAGCAAATAAACAAACTGATTGCATTATTGGCTAAATATGAAGGAAACGTTGTATTGACATATTAACATTCGAAATTTTCCTATCACTTCAAACTGGCTCTCTCATTTTACCTTACTCTTTCATTCTTTTTTCAGTTCAATGATTTTTGTACCTAAAATTAGTTGAACTGTTGTGAATATCAATCTTCCTTATGTGTGAATGAGTCTTTTGATCATTTAGGAAAGGCGGAAATTTCAAGCAAATGTGCAATTTCTGCCTAACTATAACAATGCTTTGCACAGTCAAAGAGAAAGAATATTTTATTTCTTCTTTCGTTTAATGTCAAAATCGATTAAATTCATAAAATTTTCTCGATCTCCAATAATTCCATTGCCAGTTGCTTATCATCCTCCTCCCATCATTCCTACGTCTCCTTCCTCTCCTTATAGCCCTCTTGGATCTTTCAATCCTTGCAGTCCCATCTCTTATTGCCTTGACTATTATTACGTGTCACCTCATGCACCACCAGATGCAAAGTCAAAGGCGCGTTAAATCCGCGATATGCAACTTCAAAAAGTACAGCAAAGGAGAGACATGGAACTTTGTGTGGTAGTAGCAGGCATACATTCTTACTTCATTCTGTCACTTCATTTTCATATAAAATCCAAATATTACTACAATAAGTTAAAAAACAGATTACCTCTCACTCAGTAGCCTTTTTGGTAAAACTGCGTTGGATAACTGAAGCAATCTGAGTGATGTACCTATTATTATGTGGTGATAAGTTAAACATTTGTTCCTGCTTACTCTCTGATGATGATATTTATATCAGTGCTGGCAACTATTTCAGCTGGTTATCTCGATGATGTGGAGTGGTGGATGGCTAATAGAAGGATGTCGGAGATGGATGTACATACAAAATCATCAAGAATTGACTGATTGGCACTTTTTAGTGCTATGTGATCAATCATTTCGAATTTAATATTTCTTTCACTCAAATTCAGCTTTCTTTTTTCGTCCGTTCACATCCCTCTGTAAAAAGTTATATAAATTTAAATAATTATTTTTGCAAAGAAATGACCAATGTTAGGAACATCTCATAGTATGTGAGATGAGTATTTAATATTTTGTTCATCACAACAATGACCGATTTATTTTGGAAATTCATAATCCATTCGTTTTGATTTAGCTTTAGCAATTATCTTGCATATCAATAGCTATATTATAGAGATATGATCATCGTGAAACTTTATTTTGGACATATAAAGTACTAAAGACCAAAAGCAAAATCCATCCAACAGCATTTTTGCTACCTCGCAAGTCGTCCTCAAAGATAAATTTCTTGCTAAGGAACAGCATATTACGGAAACTATTTGAGCTGCAGTGAAATAGTATTATGATAGCTGGTGTTTGTAAATAAGGATGTTCAGGCCGTTGAGTGGATTTTGCGTTTGGCCTTTGGTACTTCATTGGTCAAACTCCTCTAAATAAAATTTTACGACTAATTCATAGGTCAATCCAAAAGATACACATCTCTTGCGAACTCATTATGCTTGTTTCATAACTTGCAATTGTTGATTATATCATCTTTTGGATCAAGTCACTCTGAAGACACAGCCTAGTTTACATTCTTATCATTGCTCATGTTTCTTTCAACAGCTATTTTGTTTTGGAAAGCAGTTATATATGCAAAATGAGTTTCATGATGATCATATATTTCATTTAAATTTAATTTAACGGAATTCTACGAGTTTTTTACTCCGCAACAATATTTGCTAACAAGAGATGACCAATAGAGTCGCTACAGATATAAGCGAGCTATCAAAAATTGTGATACTGATCAAATCCTTTATATTGCTTGTAACACTGCTACTGATCTGACTCGAACCAAATCGAGGCGCAATATTTATAGTCCTTTTAGGCACCGAAAGAATAAGCAAATATAAGCAGCTTAAAATTTTAAAACAATTTAAACCAATGATTTATGAAATTTTTATAGTACGGATTTCTGCAATATAAGTTCACTTTAATAATTTAACTGTTTTGTATTACATAATTATTTCGATTTTCCGATACGAACTGAGTATTACTGCATTGTAATTGTAACTGTGAAATAACAAAAATAAAAAGTCCTTTCATCGATTCATAATTTTATTAATTTTAACTTTCTATTATTAATATAAATAATCTTTAGTTCTTTCTGTTAATTAGTTGCCTTTTTTCGTTATAATTTCTAATCTTCAATTAATCCAACTTTGATTGCATCGATTAATCTGTCAAAGTCACTAAGCAAAATCACTAGTAGGTTATCATTCTGTGACAAAATGAGACCTGACATTAGTTGACAAATATTCAGTAATTCAGTCTGATATAAATTTGTTATCGATACGCTCTTTGAAGTTATTATAGTTTTTATTTAATTAGCACTTCTATCCTTCTTCATAATTGTTCAGCAATTGTCCTTTACTTCAAGTCCTATCAGCTCAATTTTCTCTTAACAAACTGCTTCACTTAAAACAAGCCTTAAGGCGAGCATCACCGAGTTATTCGTTACTTCCGTAATGATTCCTTTTTTAGTCCTTTGATAATAAATCCTTATGATGAAAATAAATCCTTGCAACACCTCATTATGCCGTTAACTTTAACGATGACGACTATTTCAATATTTCTAACTAATATTCTGGGCTACTTTAATCAAAAATTGCTTTACAAAAACAACCAAAATATGAGAACTGATATCACTGGGAGGGACTGCTTCGATATCTCAGACAAATTCCGTTGCTTGTTACTTTTATCTTCCCATTCCCATCATTCCTTCTGGACCTTGATCACCTTCATTGCCTCGAAGTCCTGGTGGTCCTGGAATTCCTTTGTCACCCGGCTCACCTTGCCTTCCAGGCGGTCCCGGCATTCCGGGCTCTCCTTGTGGACCTTCTCCACCTCGAGCTCCTAATTCGCCTTCACGTCCTTTCCGTCCGTCCCTACCTGGTGGACCTGGCGGTCCTCGCAATCCTGATTGTGCATTTAATGGAATGCAGCTCTGAAAATATAATTTACACGTACTTGGAGGCTGTCCTTAAAATATGCACTTTTTCATTACGAAACAATATATTAGGGAACTTACTTCGACTACGGTAACAGCGCAAATAACCAATAGGAAAGTACTGAAAAGATGCATTGGTATTGATAATCTGAAATTGATTATATATGCATAACGGCTGAAAAATTTTCAAACCCTCAAATTCCCGATCATTTCAAAATTAGTAAAAAATGAACGAAAAATGTCAGGCGAGATATTTAAGTTCACAAATTCTTGTAAGATTAGATAATAGATCAGAATCTAATAGATCAGAAGTTCCATTTAAATTATAATACTCTGAAAATATATGTGGCAACAAGTAATTGATTGACATAAAAATTCTACCTGAAAAACTGTGACATTGCAGGATTAAATTAAGCAAATTCTCCAGAGAAATTTTATATTTATATTAGAAATCTGGATGCCTGATATGAATCTTTCCGGAATTCATAAAATAAAGAGCATTTCAAGAATTCATTGTCGAGTGATCATACCGAACGCAACAAATTGCAGCATCAAGCGGTAATAGACGATATCTATGAAAGTTAAACAGACCTTTTCATGAACGGAAAGAAGAATCGGTTGACTGATAGAAGCTCAATCATTTATAAGGAACACGATTTTGTCATCAACTCTGGGAGACTGATCACAATTGGAATAATTGAAGGTGCGAATCAGAAACAAAGAGTAGTATAAGTTACTAACAGAAACAGCAAAAGATTATTTATAATGAATACGTTATAAATCGATCAGAGAGCTGAAATTTTAATAATCATTCCGCCGTTCAGAAACTGGTATAATTATATTTTAGGTAGCAAATAAACGAACTGATTGCATAATTGGCTAAATGAAAAGAAAACATTGTATTGATATATTAACATTTAATATTTTTCTATCACTCAAAACTGACTCTCTCATTTTACTTTAGTCTTCCATTCTTTTTTTAGTTCAATAATCTTTGTACCTAAAATTAGTTGAATTGTTTTCAAGAGTTTTCTGTGGAAAAATCATATCGAATACTGCAAAGTGCAATCTTAAATGATTATTAACAGTATCCGTGGCAGCTAAACGGATGTTTTCATGCGATGATTTAAAGTGAACGGAAAGAAGATTCGGTTGGCTGATAGAAGATCAACGGTTGATAGACAATCTGAGAGGATGCATAAAAAAACAGGTTTAGAAATGAAATAATTTAGAATATGGTCGGTATCCAATACTTGCTTACTGTAGTGGAAAAGATAGTAGAGAATTGAATTATATATCGCTGCCCTGAAGGTAATCTAGTCCTGCTAAAAATTCAGGTCATAATGGCCAATCCAAATATCTGTAGAGCATTCAAAGAAGAAAAATATTTTTCAATAAAAGGAACTGTCGGAGATAATGAAGTACTCCCACGTGGTATCGTTTTTCTTTTCTGTTTTTATCAATGTTTTGAATTTTATAATCTTCCATTATATTACAGAATCCGCATATCTGAAATAATGATCAGTGTAGGAGCAGAAATTTAAATCCTTCGATGGACACAAATATACAACCATAATGATGCATACAATCAAATGACACATTCATCACCGAATCTGGGAAAGCGTTATAATTAATTTTTGTATAATATGATAAACCCGTTATCTAAATGTGCTAATATTTTTATTGCTATAACACATTATGGCTTTCTTAGGTTTTGATTTACAACAAAACTGATATGCGTTGTTTTGATTTACATCCTATCGCATACATCTGAATATCTTCCTTTTGTGTGATTTACATTATTATTCCAATTCCGTAAAAGGAAATTCCCTCAATCTATAATACTGCATGATGAATATGTCGGCAGCGCTGATAGAATGACCAATGTGATCAGAATTGGAATAATTGAAGATTGGAGCACAGAAAAAAGACAGC